GTGCCATGTGCTATTAGGGGAGAATTGCAAGCACGTGCTTGGGAGGGGTGGCCGGACACTCAGGTGGGAGCTCCATGACCCTACCCCAACCTCCTTCTACAAAGGACCATTAGCCAGTGCGATGGTCTCCTGCAAGCAGACACATCCGGTTTTATGAAGATGGCAGTTGCTTTGCTCAGGGGACAGTGCTGTGGAACACCACGAAGGGCAGGAGTCTCCACCCCTGCTTTGCAGAGCACCCACTGGCCCATTTCCCTCTGACGTTAAGTCTCAGCTCTGCCACATAGTAACCATAACAACCATGACACAGGACCAGCTGCTTCACCTCACGAAGACTCATGTCCTTAGCATGGGATTGTAATCCTTGGTTCCAGTAGAGGATTCCATGGAATGGTGTGTGCACCGTCTGGTCACCGGCCATTCCTTCCTCAGGGCTCTTGGATGGCATCAGTTCCTGAGAACCAGCTGTCCTGTGCAGTCCCTGCACCCCCTCACCCCCACATGTCTGTTGGGGGGAATCCGGGACTTTTTTTTTTTTCTTCATCTGGGAGGTTTCCTTTTCGTCTGCCTTAGGCTGAGGTCTGGATGAGGTGATGTCTGAAGATGTCAGTTCTTTCTGAGAGGAGAAACATCTGAAGGGAAGCCCAGGCATGGCCCAGCCAGCCCGCCATGGGGTTAGAAATGCAGTGTCTTTATTGGAGGAAACACGATGGAGGAGGAAGGCAGTGGAGCAGACAGGGTGTCGAGAGTCCCTAGACTGGAGTCCCTGAAGAGAAGAGAGAAGCCTGAGCTAGGTGAGGAGGACCTTCATCCACAACCCCAGGTTCAGTCCAGATGGGAGGGTCACGCCTTGCTGTTCACCGCCTGAGGCTGCTGGTGGTAGGGCAGCGATAGTGAACCCTGGGACAGTAACCGGGCTGTCGATCAATCATCCTCTCTCGAGCAGGAAGTCCACAGCCACCACATGGGCCCACTGGACGACCTTGGGAAATGTGCTCCAGCTCCTTGAACCTCAGCCTTGGCATCTGGAAATGCCGGTGAATAAAACGACACTTGTGTCTGGGCTGAGGAGCTTGTTTCAGCTTCTACAGTGGTGTGGCAGAGCAGCCCTGAACTTGAGATCACGCCAACTTATTATTCCACACAGTTCTACGGGCTGAGGGGCTCAGCTGGCTGCTGCTTCCACTTCCTCGGGTAGAGCCGGGATTGCTCATGCTGATGTGGCCAAAGGGGCTCCCCCAGGGCTAGTACTTGCAAGATGCCTCTACCCTCTCAGTAGAGAGCCATATGGGTAGGCTCTCACACCCTGTAGATTTCACCGAGGCTGAGCCTTCTTCCATCCAGTAAGGGCCAACATTCAGGAGGGCATCCCTGTACCGTGCAACTCCTGCTTCTGTGGTGTTAACACCCTGTAGATTTCACCGAGGCTGAGCCTTCTTCCATCCAGTAAGGGCCAACATTCAGGAGGGCATCCCTGTACCGTGCAACTCCTGCTTCTGTGGTGTTAACTAATGTTGCCTTGGCCATGGCAGGTCCCCTTGGCCAAATCCAAAGCCAGTGCCCAAGGGCACAAATCGAGCATTATTCGCTATGGGCCGTTGGGGTTTCAGGCTATAGGGATGAAGCTGTAATACTGGTAAGTTCTCCAAGGCTGAACAGAAAGTGCATCATGAGCAGGCCTCTGGGGATTGAAAGAGTGCATCTGTCTGTCCGTCCGTCCGTCCTCCCTCTGGCTCTGAAAAGCTGGAGCAAGGAGCAGGGGACACATGGGCCCAGAAAGAAGGGAGAAGTGGAGGCAGTTTCAGAGTCGGGTCTGGGGCGGATCCTGGTCAACAGAGGCCGGTGGCCCGAGGAGGCGTCTCTGGGCACCAAGAGGAGACATTTTGCCAGGAAAGCACTGGGAAGGCAACTCACAGGCATGGTGGGAGAGAAAGTCCCACGGAAAGTCACAAGTCCTTCACGGAAAGAGGCCCCTTGGGGGAGAGGGGAGGTGGAGACTTCTCTGTGGAGACAGAGCTGGGGTGGGATGTGACAGCAAGAACAGTCAGCAGGGCTCCCTTCGGAACGCTCCCTGTGACAGCTGCAGTCTCGGGGGACAGGCAAGCCTACACTTAAGTGGGGCTCCAAGAGAAAAGACAGGAACAATGGAAGCTTGAGCTATGGGGTGGGGGAGGGGCATTTTACACTCTCAGCCCCTCCTCCTGACCTGCCTTTGTAATGGAGAAAAATACTGTCCAGAGATGCCTAGTGACTTACCCAGAGCCACACAGTATCTACAAGTCTGAGTTGAGAACTGAACACAAGTCTTGACAATAACCTGCCAGAGCTCAACACTCCATATCACACCCCACAGAGAGACCATCTCCAGGATTCCTGACCAGTGGGCCTAGACAATGACCCATCCCCCCCACCTCCCCTCCCAGGAACCCAGGGCACAGTCTCCCACTGCTCCTGGCTCCTCACTCTAGTGCATCCCCAAGGATTGGGGGTCACTTGACTTCCCTGGGAGGAGGCTTGGCTTTGACACATGGGTGCCCAGTAGATAGCATCTATTGAAAATAAAACATCTCTGTGCCCAAGCAGGGTGCCAGCTTTGGATGAGGGGATGGGAATTTGCTAGCTAGGGTAGGAAGACCTTGGGGGAAACAAATGGAGAGAACCCAGGGAAGACGGCTCGAGGCCCAGCAGAACCGAGCTCTGGCCAGACCGGACTTACTCATATCTGAAGAGGAATTGGAGGCTGGTCATGCTAAGAGCTGGGAGGGAGGCCAGAGCTGCCCTCAAAATCACACAGCAGCCTAATGAGGAAAGACAGGAAGGTGGACAGGGAGCAGAGGAGGGAGGAGGGCCAGGGAGCACTCACAGGCTCCCCAGTACGTGTTGGTGGAGGACCCACTGATTTTGCATTGGAATATGATTCTCAGCCTTCTGGCATGTCTGAGGAAAGCATGGCTTCTCTAATATCATGTGCACATGAAGATAAAGGTTAGGGTGGGGTGAGAGGCCACTGAGACCCATCCACTATCCCTCTAGCACAGGGGCCCATCTCAGGGGTTGGGGCGTTAAGCCTGGGTGAGGTGTGGCCTCCACAGTAACTCCAGCAGGGTCATGGCTGAGAATACAGCCCTGCGGTTTGCAGAACCCCAGGTGATAACCTCATAGTAAAGGCATTCTCCAAGTGGTTCAAAACTGAGGTGTACCCCCTGTAAGGATTCTGTCCTTAATTACGTCACCAGCCTGCGATGGGGACGTTCCTTTTCTTCTCTTTCCTGCTCTCTCTCTTTCTGTCTGTCCTCTCTCATCCTCTCTCTCCCAATAAAGCTCTAGAAAGGTAACTATGGCTTGTGATTCTTCTGCCACCCGCAGCATCCATCGGCATAACCACAAGCACCAGGGCATAACCAATACCCCCGACCTGGCCCTAGGCTGCCTGCTCTCAACCCCACAGGGCAGTGAGTAACTCATGACAGGCAGGTCCAGGAAACCTGGGCTGTTTTGAGCACATTCAGAATACAAGCAGAAAGTCCTAGCTTGGTTTGCTAATTAAGAAACCCATTTCTCAAGTAGCAGCCCTGGGGCCATTCCGACCCCAGGGCCTCTGCAGCTGCTGCTGCCCTGCCTGGAAGACTACCCCACATGCAGGCTGCTCCTTAGGTTCCTGCTAAGGTCTTTGTCTAGCTCCCCATTTAATAGCACCCTCTCTTGCTTTCAGTCCATCCTGAGGTACATATGGCCCATGGGCTGTTTGACAATTGCCGAATGAGTGGGAATCAATAACAGAACAAGGCTGATTTGCTCCTGCTGCTGTCCAGCAGCGCCAGATGTCATTGTTCCCTGGAAAGAGAGAGCAGCTTTTTGGGTCTGACTTCCCATGCCAATACTAGACAAGTAAACAAAAAGCATTGACTTGGCACCTACTGTATGTTTGGTCCCCATTGGCTAAGGGGATGAACATGCAAAGTAGAGGGTTAGTCCTTCTCTGGGTCTTCAACTGAAGTGGTGACGCCTGAGTGCTGAGACCCAAGTCGCTCAGAATCATGGGGGACAGGTGAAGCCTGGGGGATGGACGGGGGCTACAGGAAGCGGGAACTTTCTGGAAATAAGGGACCACTCTGAAGGACAGGCCCCATAGGGTGAGTGGTTTGAGGAAGCTGCTGTGTGGCACCCAATTGGGTGACTGGGAAGCCAAGGCCATTGTGGCCCTCCTCTTCAGCCACACACTCCAGATCATCTCAAACAGCCCAAGGCCGCACCCCAGGGGGACTCTTCATGGACTGTTTCTGCAACCCAGGAATCTGGGAAGAGGCCGTGCTGGTCCTGGCTTCAGACTGGCCCGCACATAACCTAATGCAAGTAGCATGAACTTGGATGAGGTTGAAGAACCTTGCTGGGCCCAGTGTGGTTACTTGTAAATTGAACCCTTTCTTTATTAAACTTTTGAGGAGTCTTTTATGTGAGACTCTGGTGCTGTGACAGAAAAGAGAGCCCCATTACAGACTCCAGGTTGTAGCCACAGCTCCGGCAAGCCAGGTCCTTCCAGGGAGACCTTGCTGCTTCTCTATGAGCCTCTGGTCATCACGACCTTTCTCTGAGGTGTGTCGTGGTTCTTGGCAGGCTTTGGCCCCTGCCTTAATCTCCAGGCCCACCAGGTTCCTCTCTGGAGGACGCTGGGAGTGGGGGTGACTGGGAGAAGAAATCTGCCCTCCTCAGCCACTGTGGTCTGCCTCTGCTGTCCTTACCTTCAAACCCAGGGCCTGAGCTGGCCCATCAGACGCTGGTCATGGATTCTTGGTGAGACAAGGGAACAGTGATTGATGGCCTGGTTTCTAATCACACCAGGGGTGTTTTCTATGTATGAGACACTAGCCAAGGCACCCACCCTATCCCAGCTCCCATCTTCAAAATGCAGACTCTGAGTCAGTAGTTGGCATGGTCTGCCGGGGCCTGGCATCTGACAGTAGGCCTAAGCACCTCTAATTCCCAGCTGTTCTGCAGTCACTATGCCCTGGGGACTGAAGGGTGGTGGCTATGGACTTCACCTGGCCTTTCTGGGCTTGCACAGTGACAGCCTTAAGTTTTACGTGCAGCAGGAAAATAAGGATTTCGCGCCCCCTGTTGGCAAAGTCAGGTTATGTCTGGGTGGTTAGAGGTGGTGCCCAAAAGAGGAGGCTCCCTCCCAGTCAGCAGTTTGTACACAAGGGATTTTTCTCTAAGAAACTCTTCTTTGTGCTGTCAACATTCATCAAGACCATACAATCGTTTGATTTTAAAGTTATCATCTTCACTCATTAGTCAATATAATATGATATGATATGATATAATAATAATCAAATGTTAGACAAACATAACCAAGATCCTCTTGTGCCTTGGAAACATAGAGCAGAGAAGCCTACAGCGCAGACCTCAGATGACTGCCATAGGGCATCCACTCATCCACCTATTGCCCATCCATTTACTCACAAGGTACTAGCTTCCATTACCAGAATGAACCTTGAGACAATCAACTTTGGAAAAAGACAAGGTTTTTTTTCCAAGCATAGTTTTGAAGGTTTCAGTCCATGGTGCCTGGCCCTGTTAATATTGGGCCAATGACCAAGAAGCATATCACACTGGGGTGGGGGGAGCTGGTGGAGAGGAAAAAGAGAGACAAAGTTCCCAGTGCATGCACGCACACACGCATGCATGCACGCACGCACGGCCTACAGTACCGCTTTAGGAAGCAACCATCGAGGCCAATCTTCTTCAGACTAAGAGCAATGAATGAAACAATTGAAGGTGTCTCTCCTTGTGCAGTTTTTATTCCAGATAGGGGGGCTGCAAAGAAACAACACACAGGGGTGTTTATAGTGTGGAAGAAAGTAATGCTACTTTGAAAAAAAAAAAAAAAGGAAGACAGAACAGGCAGGAGAACTGCTGTGTGGTGGAAGGAAGGGTGGGCCTGTAGCAGTCGAGTCCTGAGCCCCTCACTGTAGCTGACATATATGTTTTTGAGACAGGGGTCTCACTGTGTAAACCAGGCTGCACTTGAACTCAAGGGGACCCACCTGCCTCTGCTTCCCAAGTGCTGGAATTAAATGTGTGTGCCACCACACCTAGCTCATTTTTATTTTCAAGTTTGAGAACAGGGACCTGGGTGTTCTGGGAGGATAGGCTACTCTGGGTCCACATCTGTTCCTGGACTGTCAAGGCTAGCTCAGGCACACCTGAGAAGCCTTTTCACATCCCTATCCGCCCTGTGGTGTCAGCACATGTGTATCTCCTATTTCGTCTCCACATCACCTGGGAGGTAGATTTCCTGACCTCTGTCTTTAACAAGAAGAATGGGGAGGCTTGCCAAAGCCACACAAGCAGGAGGGCCTAGGTCCTGGGGGGATGGTGCCTGAGGTTCCCGGACACCCTCCCAGGCTTCCTTGTACAGTGGTCCTCCTGTCCTGGTTAACTCCACATCAGCCTGCACTCACATTATGACCTCCATAGAAATGGGGAGGAACCACAGGCTCATTGGTGTTTTGAACAGGCCCCATTTGCTCCAGGGACTCTCAATTTGTTGGTAAGCACTCCATTCACCCAGGGTTTTGCCTGTATACACAGGCCCTGGCTCTAGCCTCCTTCAGTGGTCCTCACGGCTTGCCAACACTTCAGGTGATGCCAATCCTCTTTAGATTTGCTTCAGCCTGACACTCCATAGAGCCAGTTCTCTGTAATGATGCTAAGGTCATTTTAGGTAATAGGAAGCTCCTGGGAAGAGTTTTCTATCGGGGAAGAGATGGATTGTATTCCTCTTGAATGCTTAAAAGGGAGAGAGAGGAGGGGGCTGGAGCAGACTGTCCCCAAATAGCAAGGGCACTTCCAGAAGGCGTCAAGATTTCAGACTGCACCCAGCTGAGTGGAAGGCGAGCCGGTGAGCTGACAGGGTGAGGCGAGCTCTGAGATGTGGGGAGGGGAGGGACTTTGGGCCACAGACCCCTGGAGCTTAAAAGACAATGGGGTTTATGGTCAGCCAGCTTCGACCTAACATTGTAACACAACGTTATCTATAAAGTTGGGGCTTGAGAACTGGGCAACCAAGTTACAGAAGAAAAGCAACAGCTATCTCGTAGTCTTTCAAGTTTTGGCCTTGTGTTGGGTTACATTCGTAGCTGTGCTGGGGCAGGTTGACACAGCCGGTACCTTCCTTCCATGACAAATGCATCCTACTTGTGTGGTCTGGTAGCATCAATTCACTCCTTTGAGTCTCTGGCTTCTAATCTATAAAGTGAGACTTACGGAACCAACTCAAAGGGGAGACCAGGAGAAGCCCAGGAGGACCCTACACTAGCACTGAGCCGATTCCTGCCTGGCTTCCCACGGCCCCTTCTTTTCCCACTTCCTCTGCTCAGGACTGCTCTGCCCTGGAACTCACGGAGGAGGGCTGTCCTGTTGGCAGCAACTTGTCTGAACCTGACACTGATTTTAGCCAACCTGGGAGAGGAGTGTAGATTGGAAGGTAGGTGAGGGCAGGCTAGGGACATTGATGCCAAAATATAGCTGAGGGGTGCTGTGGATATTGCTCTGTATGCTGTGAATGTGTTGCTCTGATTGGTTAATAAAGTGCTGATTGGCCAGTAGCCAGGCAGAAAGTATAGGTGGGACCAGCAGAGAAGAGAATTCTGGGAAGAGGAAGGCTGAGTCAGGAGTTGCCAGCCAGACACAGAGGAGGCAAGATGTGAAGGCAGAACTGAGAAAAGGTACCAAGCTACGTGGCTAAACATAAATAAGAATTATGGGTTAGTTTAAATGTAAGAACTAGTCAGTGGTAGGCCTGGGCTAATGGCCGAACAGTTTTAATTAATATAAGCTTCTGAGTGATTATTTTATAAGCAGCTGTGGGGTCCTTGGTGCTGGGCGAGCACAGGAAGACCTTCAGCTACAGAGGGATGTGAAGGAGGAGACTCATAAACCCAATACTAACAGTTTAGGGCTGGGCTTTAAGGGTGCTATGTCTTTGTCCTACAGCGTCATTTACAATAGGCATTTCTAATATAAAAAGTCTTGGCAGAGTTTCCACTGTCTATTCCCTAGTGACCTCAACCTGTATTCCCTTTCTTCATAAAAGTTAGTTTTCCAGGAGAACGCACAGTGCTCCGACTGGCAAGGACAGCCCTTGTAAGTGACTTTCTGAGCTAGGGTCTCTCGGTGCACAGGCACCTCTCATCATCCACTGGAGATTATATACTCATATGTATATGTTCCCCCAATCTCTGTCTCTCCCCCATCTCTGTCTCTCCCCCATCTCTGTCTCTCCCCATCTCTGTCTCTCCCCATCTCTGTCTCTCCCCGTCTCTGTCTCTCCCCGTCTCTGTCTCTCCCCGTCTCTGTCTCTCCCCGTCTCTGTCTCCCCCCGTCTCTGTCTCCCCCGTCTCTGTCTCTCTCTCCCCATCTCTGTCTCTCTCTCCCCCTCCAACCTCCCTGTCTCTGTCTCTCTCTCCCCCTCCAACCTCCCTGTCTCTGTCTCTCTCTCCCCCTCCAACCTCCCTGTCTCTGTCTCTCTCTCCCCCTCCAACCTCCCTGTCTCTCTCTCTCTCTCTCCCTCCAACCTCCCTGTCTCTCTCTTTCTCCCTCTCCAACATATTGGATATATATCATATATATGTATATATATAAAATCATTGAAGAATCTTGGTATAGCACAGGCTGGCCTCCAACTCTCTATACAGCTGAGGATGACCTTGAATCTGATCCTCCTACCTTCACGTCCTGGGTGTGGGGATTATAAGTGTGTACCATCATGCCTGGTTTTATTATGGTGCTGAGGATGGAATCCAGGGTTCCAAGCATGCATTCTAGGCAAGCATCTGAAGGCAAGCACCCTTGAGCCAAATCCCCTTCTCCCAAACGCACCATATTTAAGATTGACTGCCTTCCTATATCTTTGGCTAATAATTCCAGGAAATACCTAGCTAGCACGTCCAGCTTGAGGCACAATAGTTATGAATGCAACTTTATACAACATCCTTAAAACACTGAATATTGTTGGTTGTTTTTTTAAAAACTCGATCCCATGGTTCTTGAATATGAACTGTATAGATGACAATATTGCATTTGACTCCAAAAGGTTAGATTTGCTTAAGAACAAAATTATCTGGAGGCAGCCTAATCTGGCAGAAATAGTATCCATCTATAATTCAAGCCTGGCTTCTCCTACCTCTCAGTATCTGTGTGACGCTGGAAAGGTGACATCTTTAGTCTGTAGCCCTATAAGATGAAGTTGGCCTGGATAACAAACATCTCTGTAAGGCTGGATACTGTGTCCTTTAAAAAGAGTGTCCTCTAGATTCTGAATGAGGAAGGGCACCTGGAAACTATAGAATCTCTTTGGGTCTGTCTACAGCCTTCGGAAAGAACTGGCCAACTTCTTGACCTACTACTCCAAGGCACCTACACCCCTTGATCCAGAAAATGTGAGTCGGTATAGTGGAAGGCTGTGCTCTTGGGTTTCCTCTGAATTATCTATAGAATACGAAGAGAGATCCAGAGTGGCAGACACAGTAAAAGCCAGCTAAAGGAAGTCCCTGAGGGAAGTCCAGTTAAGAAGGACCCTGGGGAAGGTTCAAGGAGAGCCCCGGAACCTGCCCTTTGGGTGGAGAGGGAGATGGTGTGTAGACACGCTTCTTATACAGGTACTGATTTTGACTTCTGCCTCTTGGACCTTGTCCTTAGGTGGTGGTTCTAAATGACTGCAGCTCAGTCTTGTCTTCGCTGGCCATGGTTCTGTGTAACCCAGGTGGTAAGTCAGCAGGCTCTGCTTGTCCTTTCTGGTATGTAGGCAAGATTACCTAGGCACTGGGCTTTGACAGAGAAGAAGATCGTGTTGACTTGAGGTCTTTTCTACAAGTGCAGGCCATTCTGTCCTGCCAAAGATATCTTTGCATCATATCTGGGCAGTCAAGGGGGTTAGAGTCTTAATTTAATATTGAAGAAACATGTGACAGTTCTCAAAGAGGTGATCTAGATGAAAAGATTCATGAGGCCAAGAAAATGGAAAGAAAATAAAACCCACCAGGTCCAGTGGTAGGAAGCTTTCTTGTACATGGCCTTTGGCCTTTAGTGTCTGGCCTGGCACAGACAGACCTTTTTTTTTCAGTTTGCTGGTGAGGACAGCTGCTCAGTCAGGAAAGTGCTTGTCACTCATGCACAAGGACCTGAGTTTGATACCTGGAACCCACATAAAGCTGTGCGGGGTGGCACATGCTTATAATCCCAAGGCTGTGGACGCTGAGACAAGCAGGTCCCTAAAGACTGCTTGCCCGCCAGCCTAGCTCTAGGTCAATGGAGAGACACTATCTTAATAAACAAGGGGTATTGTTCCAGAGGAAGGACTTGGGGGTTGATCTCTGATCCTCACGTGTGCATGCACACAAGTGCACATGTACCCACACAAACACTGGCCCCTCAACGTAGAGACTTTTATAATGGGAGGTACCATGCTTGATTCACATCTTGGACTTTGAGCTGTTCACTACAATCATCCCTCTTAGCCTCCTTCAGTGTGCTTGCAAAAGGAAACTAAAATTTGGTCCCCAAACAATGTGTATAAAAAAAATGGATCTTTTTTTTTTTTTTTTTTTTTTTTTTTTTTAATGAAGCTTGAGCGCAAGGAAAGAAGGTATTGCTACCCTGGGCTCTTGTATTGGGAGCCTTGCTGCTCATCTTGACCACCAGACAGCTTTGTCTCCTTGTACTCCTAGATGCCTTTCTGGTCCCTACACTGTACTACAGTACCTTCGCCTTTAGCTCCTACCTTTATTCGAAAGTTGAGCTTATTCCTGTCCACTTGGAAAGCTAGGTCAGAACGGGCCCCTTCCCTGTTCAGCCCATTTGGCAAAGGACTGTTCTAGGGGCCCTGAGAAGACAGAGGGGCCTTATTCTCTAAGTGATGGTGGGAGTGGAGTGATATCAGGGTGAAGAAAGCATGTGGACCAACATCCTGACTTGAAGGCCAAGGACTGTATGGGACTTGTGAGCTGAGAAACTAGGCTCAGGAACAAGCCTTTCTAAACTGCATGTGTCTTCCAGGTCAACGAGGCCAACTCGTATTTTTTCAAACTCACCGTGGATAAGCTGGAACTTACCCTGACTCAGGCTAAGATGAAGGTAAGGTCAGGGGAGCCTGAATTTCAGGGTAGCAACTGTTGGCTCTAAACATTCTGAGTAGTAAGACTTAGATACAAGATGTGGGGGGCTTTCTCTAGAGGGAAAGACAGCAAGTAATTCTAAGTACCTGACTTCACTGTAGCAGTAAGTCCTACCCATGGAAGCTTCCAGAACACTTTCTTTCCCCCTTTGCCAGCAGCATGACATTACATCCATGAATGAGATCCTACCTAGGCTTTATCAGGTGTCCTATCTTAGATCTCCCAAGCCATAAAGGATGCTTGGTAGAATCTGGAGTAGATATAAAGAACTTGTATTCACTCTTGTGTTTGCGTTTCTTCTCAGGCAAAAGAGGTCAAAGGCCTTGTGCTACTCAACCCCCAGAATCCTCTGGGTGATTTCTACAACCAACTGATGATGAAAGATTACCTGGCCTTTGCCAAGAAGTATGTGTTCCACCCTATCACTTGTAGGCAAGAAATGAGAAGCAGAAGTAACTTACCCTAGATTACTCATTCTATAATACGCTTTGCATGGTTCCAGAAAGACTACTAAATGAAGGAGAAAGGAGCCCCGTGTTCACCATTTCCATTCTTATTTCCTTTCCAGCCTTTCCCCATACAGACATTTACCTAGTCATTAGAGTGTTGCTTTTCCACTCACACCACAGCAGAAGCACTTCACCCACCCCAGTATCTGTTTCCAAACCACCTGGACTGCGGCACCAAAAAATGACAGATGCTGAGAGACGGGTTACCTTAGAACCTTCACGGCTCACTGCTAAGAGCACGGCAGCAACCGCTGCCTCCGGAGTCCTGCAGTGCTCCTGCTAGGACACATAAACCTGATGCAGGAGTCGAGAACTCAGTAGAGCTGAGTGCAAATTCCAGCTGCCTTGGCTGTTTCCTGCTGCCGTCATAAAGTGTAGAAAGGAAGGAAGGATTATTTGGCCTCAAGGTTCCATCATGGGTACAGCTCATCATGTCAAGGAAGGCCTGGTGGTAGGAGATTCTAGCAGCTGGTCATGCTGGGATCTGTGGGATATAAAGAGCAAGGGTGGTTCTGCTTGGCTGGTGTCTCCACCTCCCACCCCAACTCCGGAGTTCAGGATTCAAGACCAGAAAATGGGACCACCCACTTTCGGGTGGGTCTTCCTACCTCAGTTAACCTAAATGGGGTAATCCCTCACAAGTGAGTCCAGAGGCTGGTGTCTCAGGTGATTCCTGTGAAGTTCACAATTGGTGTTAACCATCACATCACCTGAGCACTGGGACCCTACTAAGTTGAAGCAACTGGCTTCCCATCTTAGAACCTTAACCTCCATCTGTGAATTGGGGGTGATGGTGTTGTGTCAGAGGGTTTTTAAAAAGTGAGGATGTGAGTATGCTCAAAGCCCACCTGGTGCTGTGACTTCAGTTTAGACCCTGGGTGGCAGCTGCTGTCACTGATATAAACATCTGGATAGCTTTTCCTCTTCTCCCATCCTCTGTTTGGTATTTAAAGGGTTAGATGTGATATCTCATAGGTCCTGTTCCCTCTCTGTACCACCAGCAAGAGACACCTTGTGTGCCACCTCTTTGTACATTATAATGCCCCTTGGGAAGTAGAGTAAGCTACTGGAATAATAGGAGTATATGATCTGTATCCAAAACAGGAAGGAGAGTGAGTTAAGATTACAGAGAGCCGGGCATGGCGGTGGCGCATGCCTTTAATCCCAGCACTCAGGGGGCAGAGGCAGGCAGATCTCTGAGTTCGAGGCCAGCCTGGTCTACAAATCGAGTCCCCAAACAGCCAGAGCTGTTATAGAGAAACCTTGTCTTGAAAAAACAAACCCCAAAACCACAAAGCAAAACAGAGCTGACCAGACGGCTCAATGGGTAATGGTACTGCCACCAAGCCTGATAAACTGAGTTTGATCCCTAGGACGTACATGATGGGGGTGGGGGACAAGACTGATTCCAACAAGTCCTTCTCTGTCCTTCACCCATGAAGCACATGTACACACATGTACAAAATAAATGTAATCTTAAAGATTTGCAGATAGAAACTAGATCTATTTTTTTCTCTCACGCAACTACAGTCACAAACTACATGTGATCGTAGACGAGATTTACATGCTGTCTGTGTTTGATATAGCCGTCAGATTTCGCAGTGTTCTGAATATGAAACAGTAAGTTTGTCCCCAGTTGTGTGGGAGCAAGAGTCATGAGGTTCCTGCTTTGTAAGGTGAATTCATGAAGTAGGAACTTGCCTGGCCATGTACTGGGGAATGAGGCAAGTGCCAATGGGGTTTGTGTATATGAACAAAGTGTCCTCTGCCCTCCCGAGTACTGACTCCAAATGCCATTCTGGGTATGAGTGAATGCTAGAGCAAGGCAGCAAGTGTATGGTTAAAGGTCGAGGGGCGGTGGGTCAGTCAGTAAAGTGCCTGGCGTGCAAGCACGAGGATCTGAGTTTGAATCCTCAGGACCTATGTAAAAGTCTAGTGTGGCAACGTGCATCTGTGACCTTAGAGATGGGTGAGGGGCTAAGTGGCAGATCTGGAGCTCACTGGCCAGACAGCCTGGTTGACTTGAGGAGCTTCAGACTCAGTGAGAGACCTCGTCTGTGGTGGGGGAGGTAAAAAGTGATCTAGGAAGACACCCAGTTTTAACCTGTGGTTTTCACACCTGTGTGCATGCACATGGGTGCATGTGCACACGTGCGCACACACACACACATGCATACATACATATGTATCAGGGAAAGGCCCGGGATGGTCAGAGCAGGTACTTCTTCTCCACACAGCATCTTGCTGTGTAACCCAACCAGGCCTCAAAGTCTTTAATTTTCCTGTCTCCACTGCCCCCCCCCCCGCCCCCCGAGTGCTGGGAATACATGTATGTCCCATTGTGCCCCACTTAAATTTGGGGGAGAGGGTGGGATTTGACCCTAGGGATAGGATCTCATCAAAGCAAGGCATAGGCATACTGGCTAGAAGGAACAGATTCACCAGAGGCAGGGCAGTGAGAGAGAAGTGAGGATGTTCTAGAGACCATGGGCAGCTGATACCTGGAAGGGCAGCTGCCAGGGAGGTGGTTTCGGACCAGATGGAGCAGAGCCACAGTCAGGCTGAGGGTTCTGGACTTCAGTGGGTGTTGAGGACTGCTCTGTGTGGGCTTTTCAGGGAGACCTTATGTTGCCTTCCTAGCTTAACTACCACCCATCTCTTGGAACTGGGCACCTTAGACCCTGTCTAGGAAGAACCTAAAGTCCACTTCTTTCTATCAGAGGTCATTTATGCATCCTTCAACCATTTCCCCCTAACATTGATTTTTTTTTTTAAATTCCTTTTCCAGCTTGTCTGACCCTAACAAGACACATATGATCTGGGGCACCAGTAAGGTAAGTCCCAGCCACCTGTCTTTGAGTCTGGAAGGAAGGGAAGCCAGGAACAGAAGGCAGGAAAAATTAGATGTTCCTTTTCCAACTTCTCTTCTTCCAGGATTTTGGCATGGCTGGCTTCCGCTTTGGTGTTCTCTATACACACAACAAGGAGGTAGCCTCTGCCGTGAGAGTGTTTGACTACCTCCACGGTATCTCTGGCATTACACAGTACAAGCTGTACCAGCTGCTCCAGGACAAAGGTAATGAGCGGCACCTCTTGACTGGACTTCCTGGCCACGGAGATTGCTGGGTTTTCTAGGGTCTCTACCGTTAACTTGATAGACTTGAGGATCTGTTCACTGAAGTTAAACTGAGGAGATGTGAGGTTTGGAGGAAGGCAGAATACAGCTCAGCTAGTGAGCACATGGGCATGGTTGGAAGATGGAGAGCCTGTTCTAAACCAGGCTGGGATGTGACTCTTAAAGTCTAGTAGTTTTTGTCCTGCTTAGAAAAGCACCGCTTGTAAATGGCTCCCTAAGAAATAAGAACTCAGGCATCAGCCAGTCAGTCTTGCTTTTCCCCTCTTGGCCTGGAACTTACCATGTAGACAGGCTGGCCTTGAACTCAGTTTCTCCTGCCTCTGCCTCCCAAGTGCTGGGACTAAAGGCACGCACCACCTGGCATAATGAAAGCTTAAAAAAATAACAACAATGTAGACGTAAAGGTTTTCTATAACCTCTTCAGGTCACTTTTCTTCTGTCAGTTCTGAAAACACTGGGGCTACAAGTATCCCAGAGAATAGCTGGGTTCCTCCAAGTCCAATACAATATGTGGGGTTCAAGAGCAGAAGTGGAAACCTTGTCACTCAGGTGACAGTGGCATCAGTCCCCCTTGTGGGATGCCTTGGTTACAGTCCTCTATTATCTACTCAAAGGGAGCATTCCAGTGGACCATTAAGATGCTCATTGTTCCCTCCAGAGTCCTACATGTGGAATTGTGTGGATATTATCAGTTCAGACACAACAGAGTCAGTCTTGCATAGAAATGGCTCCTGGCTCACATGAAGCCCAGCTAAGGTATATTTGGGAAGAACCCTCCACCCAGCAGATGTCTGCTGTAAGATCTGTGATGCTCTTTCTCTACTCATCCAGAATGGATAGACTGGATCTACCTGCCTATGAACCACAGTTGGCTCCAGAAGGCTTACGTCTATGTCACTAAGAGGCTGGAGAGGCTGAAGATCCCTTTTATCACGGGTGGCTGTGGTCTCTATGTCTGGATCAACCCCTCCCCCCCTCTCCCCCTCACTCCTCCCCTCACTCCTCCCCTCACTCCTCCCCTCACTCCTCCCCTCACTCCTCCCCTCACTCCTCCCCTCACTCCTCCCCTCACTCCCCCCTCACTCCCCCCCTCACTCCCCCCCACTCCCCCCTCACTCCCCCCCCCCACTCCCCCCACTCCCACCTCACCCCCCTCTCCCCCCCACTCTCCCCACTCCCCCCCACTCCCCCTCCTCCCCCCCTCCCCCCCTCTTTCCCCCCTCCCCTTTGGAACTTCTAGTCATGGATTGGTTCTCCCACGTGCTCAAGGAGTACAAAAAAGATAGACGTTGAAACAACGGGAGCAGACATTTGAGATGTGGGCTGTGGGCCTCCAGCCAGTGGCTCCAGCCATCTTGCAGTCCATACTCAGGAGCCCCTGATATCAGCCTCTTGCCCAGAAGGCTGGAGGAGTAACTGGTGCTGCTGTACTCTCTGACCTCACTCATCAAGCCCCCTAAGCTGTTCTCTGCCATTTTAGAAGGCTTGTTTCTTTTAGTCTTTGCTAGCTATTTTACATGCAAAATGTTTTTAAGGTGATGGGAGTGGGCGGGCCTAAAGAGCCCTGGAGGGTAAAGGGAATTCCCTGGATTCCTTTTTAGATAGCTTTGTTTTATATTCAGCATTTAATAAATATCACTCTCTATTCTCTCCGATTCTTTATTTCTGGTTCACATTCCTTTTTGGAGATGATTTTTCCCCCCTAAGTTCTTTGGTAAGCTGAAAAGTGAAGAATATTGTCTGGGAGAGATCTGGGGTGGTAGCTGAGATAAGAGTACTTTGCTCTGTAAGCATGAGGACCTAAGTTCAAATCCCCAGCACCCCATGTAAAAACCTAGCCATGGCTTTTAGTACCTATATCCTTAGCACTGGGTGGCGAGGCACAGACAGGCGGACCATAATATCTCACTAGCAATTGAGTCTGGCTGAAATGGCAAGAAATTCCATTTCAGTGCAAGGTTGAAACACTTACAGGAAGATTCTCGAAGTCCTGTTCTGACTTCGAGTTCTGTGCACATGTGGAAACACACACACACACACGGACGGCGGACACACGGACGGCGGACACACGGACGGCGGGCACACAGACGGACGATGCACACACACAGACGACGCACAGACACAGGCACCCTTACTCTGGAGCATATACCCCCCCACACACCTCCACACACATGAACACATATCTGTAACCCTGTCTTGGGCAGGGCTGTAAAAGGAAGACGTGACTCATAGCTGGATGCTGAAGAAGCACTGAGTGTTGACTGTCATCTTTAGAAGCTCACATTCTCCATATGAGTGGCTGGCTGAAGGACTGGATGGGTGTATTGCGGGTGTTCTCACATCCAAATGCCAGAGACCTTTCCTAAAGGCTTTAGGATGAATCTTGGAATATTACTTTGTTCCGATGGCTATAGCAAAATGCCAGAGAAGTGAGTAACTTATAAAGAATGAAAATTTCTAGAAGCTGCAAAGTCCAAGATCAAGAACCTGAGACGTGTCTGGTGAGGCTCATCTTATTTCTCCCTATGACATTACATGACTGGAGGGCTGGGGCTCCCTCTGCTTTCATGACCTGATCACTTCCCAAGGGTCCCACCTGCTACTGCCATCATTTTAGGGGGCGAGGATTTCACATATGAATTGCAGTGTTTGGGAGCACAAACCCCAGTTTGCAGAACTGACACTTCCCACTGTTTAGATTGTACTCACTGGAGTTTCTGTGATGCCCTTGCCTATCAGGGACTGTGAAATGCACAGAACAGGGAGTCAAAAACCTTTTGTGAGTCAGGCAGTGGTGGCACACTCTTTTAATCCCAGCACTCGGGAGGCAGAGGCAGGCAGATCTCTGAGTTAGAGGCCAGCCTGGGCTACAAAGCAAGTTCCAGGATGGCCAGGACTGTTACACAGAGAAACCCTGTCTCAAAACTTTTTGTGGAGGATGGAAAAATTTCTAGTACATGTTGATAGTTTTGATCAGTTCCTTGGATTTCTGACCCACCCACTCTCCCCTGGCGCTGACTTGTCCCACTTCTTTTCCTGCCTTTTAATACAACCCAGGCTGGCCTTGAACCCATCATCTTGCCTCAGCTTCCTCAGTGCTAGGATTACAAGTACATGTCATCAGGGCAGTTAGGTCCTCCTCTTCCTTACCCTCCTCTCCCCCGCCCCCAACAAAGGGAAATGTATTGCTCTTCTCAAGCAACTTAAGGGTGGGTTTTTCTGGTTGACAGTTCAAGGTTTCCATGCACCGTGGTGGAGAAGGCAAAGGCATGGTGCTGAGTGCGGCCCTAGCTGTGAGAGCAGGAACGTGAGGCAGTTGGGCAAGTTGCATCCACAGCCAGGAAGAAGAGGGAAGTGCTGCTGCTCACCTCACTTTCTCTTTTCTTCAGCCTGGGACCCCACACACATTAACCCAAGTTAATCCTCTCGGGAGGAATCCCCATAGACACACCCAGAGTTGTGTGTTCTCGGTGATTCTAAATCCAGTCAAGTTGGTTATTGAAATTAACTACCACATGGAGCAGTTCAATAAGTACTGATCCTTCAAGGCTATACTAGATAAGGCTCTTTGGAAACTGATTATGAACCAGGCATGGTGGTATAGACCTGTAATCCTAGTACTCAAGAGGCTAAAGCAGAATTGTGGGTTCAAGACCAGCCTGGGCTATATACTGAGATCTTAGGCAGAGAGAGAATTTGTTAGAGGAGCCCAGGAGACCAGAAACACTCTCAGGACCTTTGTAGAGGAAGACAGCAGTCTCACTGGTACTGGATGGAAGGAGTGAATTATGCCTTCTATGGAGGCGTCAGTCTGTTTCCAGGTCCGTCAACTCTATTTAGATGGTGGCACTGGTGAGATGTCTCAGTGAGTAAAGGCACCTGCTGCCTGAGTGTGGCGCCCAAGCCCCACATGGTGGGAGGGAGAACTGAGTTCTATAAGATGTGCTTGGACTTTCATATGCAGACGGTGACACATGCACAAAGTAAACGTAATAAAAAAAATATTGATGTTCTGGACATTTCACTTTCTTGTTAACATTTGGTGTTTGTATCGGTTGCTTTTTTCATTGCTATGACAAAATACCTGAGAAAAGCGACTTGAGAACAGAAAGGCCAGGCATGGTGGTGTATAGTGGCATATGCCTGCAGTCCCCAGAGGCAGAATGAGCACGAGTTTGAGGCCAGCCTGAATTATCTAGGAAATGCTAGGCCAGCCATGGTTGTACCGTGATACAGCAAGACGCTGTCTCCAAAGACTTAGAGGGGCGGTGCTAATTTTGGCTCATGGTTTTGATGGTTAATCTTGATTGACTAGATCTGGATTCAATTAGGAGGCAAGTGAGATTTTCCTGACTGGGTTAATTGAATTGGGAAGATCTACCCCCAATGTGGGTGGCACACTCTGGTGGCAGGCAGAGGGAAGAGTTTTGCTCTTCTGCCTGCTTGTCTTTGTGCCTCACTGGTTGAGTTTATTTGATTTTCAAGCCGTCTACCCTGCTGTTGCCTCTGCTACCATTGTCGCGGCCACCCTTCACTACCATCAAAGCCAAACTTCTTCAGCCTTCCAATGTGGACTAAAGTCCAGTGGCTCTCCCAGAACTCTAGGCCTTCAGTATTAGGGTTCGGTAGAGGAACAGAACTAATAGAATAGATATTATATATTCATATATATATTTCATTTTATATATATATATATAATATGATTTATTTAGAGTGGCTTACAGGCTGTGGTTCAGCTAGTCCAACAATGGATGTCTCTTGATGGAAAGTCCGAGAGTCCAATAGTTGTTCAGTCCACGAGGCTGAATGTCTCAGCTTCAGTACACCTCAGAATCCTCAAGAAGTAGGCTCTCATGCCAGTGAAGAAGGGCCTCAGCAGCAAGATCTCTGAGCTTGCCAGTGAGATGAGAATGGGGGTGAGCAGGCAAAAGCAAAAGTTTCCTTCTTCCTTGTCCTCTATAGAGGCTGTCACAAGGTGTGGCCCAGACTTAAGGTGGGTCCTCCTACCTCAACTGGTCCAATTAACTAAAAATTCCTCACCGATGTGCCCAGCTGCTTACGTTTTTAGTTAATTCCAAATGTAGTCAAGTTGACAGACAAGAATAGCCATTGCAAGTCAACTTGACACACAATCATATCTTATGTCATGCTTAATTTCCAAGTGAAAAGAAAAATGAGGTCTTGATTACACCTAACATGATATAACAATCCCACATACAACGGCAAACACATTATGTATTTTAGAATAGGTGGCGATATCCTTTGAGGGACGTTCTTTTTTTAATATCTCATAACTTAAATATGAGAACCACTGATATTATCTTAATTGATGTTACATTACATGATAAAAAAGTTGACAAAAGAAAACTAATATCTGTACAAACCCATTCTTAACAAAATATGACAGGCACATTCATGTTAATTATAATCCTCATTGCAGCAAGAGGTTATGTGGCCTTAGCTGGTATTTATAATTACCTTTCTCTACTACCCCTTCTGTATTTCCTCTACCCTTAGGGAGCACCTCAGCTGGTTTTGGTTCTCTTCCTGGAGGAGTGACCCACATCTTTGTTCCTGATGGGTCTGTGCCTTTTGTCATCCTGCCTGGATCAGGCTGCTGTAGTTTCCCATTGACTTTAATCAAGTCACGGTAGCACCACAAGACACCCTAAAGGATCGTCAGAGGGTTTCTATTGCTGTGAAGAGACACCATGATCACAGCAACTCTTATAAAGGAAAACATATCATTGGGGCTGGCTTATAGTCTCAGAGGTTTAGTCCATTACTTCATGGTGGTGTGCAGGCAGACATGGTGCTGGAGAAGGAGCTGAGAGTTCTACATCTTGATTCACAGTCAGCAGAAGCAACTGTGTGCCACACTGAGTGTAGTTTGAGCATAGGAGATCTCAAAGCCTGCCCCCCACAGTGACACAACTTCCTCCAACAAAGCCACACCTCCTAATAGTGCCACTCTTTTATGGGGGCCATTCTTTTTAAACCATTACAAGAATCTCCTACATTCCAGATATAATCTTTCTTACCTCCACTGTGGAGAAGCAACCCAATTCTCCATGGTAATCTGGGTCAATCACCCTTAAAACTTATTCCTTTCTTAGCCTCTTGGCTTAAGGGTATCTCAGAAGCTCAAAGTGCCCATGAGGAAGTCCGAGTTTCCAATTCAATGGAATGTTTATTGTGTCTCCAGGCAGGAGTGCTCCCCCATCTGAAACTAAAACTTCTAGGCCGGTAGAACTCAAGGTTTTAGAAACAGGAAGCAACAATTTTCCTAGTGGAAATTAGTCACTAGGGATGACAGTGAGTGGACCCATTCCCCTTCCCACTCCTTGATTCCTGTGAATCCAGGCTATGGGAGAAACCCTATACCGTAGATTGGATGATGATTACTTCTGTCTTAGTTATTGTTCTATTGCTGTGAAGAGACACCATAACCAAGGCAACTTATAAAAAGAAGCATTTAAGCTGGGCGGTGGTGGCACACGCCTTTAATCCCAGCACTCTGGGAGGCAGAGTCAGGTGGATCTTTGTGAGTTCGAGGCCAGCCTGGTCTACAGAGTGAGATCCAGGACAGGCACCAAAAACTACACAGAGAAACCCTGTCTCAAAAAAAAAAAAAAAGCATTTAATTGGGGGCTTGCTCACAGTTTCAGAATGTTAGTAAGCTCCAATTATGGTGGGGAGGGTGATGGCAGGCAGGCACAGTGCTGGAGCAGTAGCTAAGAGCTTACATCCTGATCCTCAGGCAGCAGGCAGAGAAAGAGACAGGGCCTGACCTGGGCTTTTGAAACCACAAAGGCCACCCCCAGTGACACAACAAAGACACACTTCCTAGTCCTTAAATAGTCTACCAGCTAGGGAACAGATATTCAAATCTATGAGCCTATGGGCATCATTCTCATTCTAACCACCGCACCTTCAGTGACAGAGTGTAACTACCTTCTTGGACTACCTAGGCCTGATTGTGTTCCTGATCTAATTTGAGAAGCGTATAGTTGATGGTATTATATTATAGTATTTGCATAAATACGTTATTTATCAGTCTAGGTCTCATGGTCTGTGCTAGACAAGAGGTCGTTTCCTTGCATAAGTAAGAGGTGGAGTCATTCCATTTGGTATTTACACTCAGCAAACCTCTGGGAGGCACATAAGGAAACCTGCTCATTTTTGACTTCTTCTTGCCTGCTTGCTTGTACTGGGGACTGAACTTTTCCCTTTGTCGACCCACATCTCTAAAAATCTATTTTGTATAAACTGGAATTCAAAGAAGCCCCCCTTTTCATTCCCGAGTATCCTCACCATGTGTCATGTAAATATACGTCGATAACTTTCTACTTTTCTTTTCTCCTTTTTTTTTTTTTTTCGAGACAGGGTTTCTCTGTGTAGTTTTTGGTGCCTGTCCTGGATCTCGCTCTGTAGACCAGGCTGGCCTTAAACTCACAGAGATCCACCTGCCTCTGCCTCTGCCTCTGGGATTAAAGGCATGACCGCGGCCTTTTGTAAATCTTTATTCCTTCCTACTAAGAAATTTTGGGAGTTGAGGGAAGCCTATGCAAATGGATGGCGGGGAGATCACGTGCACAAGTGACACTCAGGAGGACCAGTGTTTTAGGAGGATGCCTACTTTAACTGGGGAAGAACCTTCCATGCTCAAATGGCTCTGACCAAGGGTATTCAAATGCTAGAGAAATCTAAGCTCAGGCCAGTGAGAGAAGAGATGGGGAAGGCGTGGTCTTGTCTTGGCCAAAATCTCCACCCCTCAGTCCCGACCTCTCCTTCCAGTTCAGACTCTAGTTTCTGAATGGCAGGGAAGTGTTGAAACCCAGAGCTACCACGTCTGCACTCGGGAGGGAGGGCGCAGGCTCCTTCCCCTTTATCCCCTCCTGGTCGCCAGGGGGCAGTCTGCCCCAGCGTCCCGGAAGTCGGGCCAAGAGGATATCACGCGCGAAACCCAGAAAGCAGACGCCCAAAGTAGGTGCGATTCCCCGCGCTGTGCACCAAAGGGGCGGCTTGGTTGCCCTGTGCTCTTGAACGCTGCTGCTCTTGGGTCTGGAGTCCTGAGTGCGGTCACACAGGCTCCGCGGGCCAGGAAAACCCCCGGGCGGGCCCTGCAGACCACTCTGGCTAGATCGCTAGGCGGGATTGAGCCCGCCTCCCACCCATACTGTCTTGCGCTCCTGCTGGGTTCTGGCTGCGCCCAGCTCGGCAGTGCTCTTCCTCCGACCTGGGCTGTCGTGGAGCAGAATGTGTGCTTCTCTGAAGTCCCGCCACCTTGGGGAGGCCCCTGAGATTTAAAAAGCAAAACAAAACTGCAGGACAGTTTCTGGGTTCCCATCCCTTCTACCAAGTAAGTCTTATACCTTAAGACAGGAAAATTAGAGAGCAATTGTGATAGCGTGACTCATATTTTAGACATTTGGCCAGCAGCCACAATTTGGTATGAGTGCTTTATCGCCCTTGGATCCCCGTTTTATCACCCTTTGAGGTGAGTGTTGGTTCCACCACAGCACAGATGAGACATGAATGAGGGATGTTTAGGAAGCTTCTATGTTGTTGGCAGCTAGGAGACCCTCCTCTGAGGCCCTTGCCTCCTTTGAGAGTGGAGCTGGGATCCTGAGTGCCTGCACTTGTGACCCCTAATCTCCTGTCCCCCTAGTTCCCACCACCAGCTCCAGATCACCTGTCATACAAGAGGTCCAGGACCACGGCAGTGATCTGCTTGGGAAATAGCCTGATGTTTTGAAATTGAGGTGAGCAAGATCCTTGAGGTGGGAAAGATAGTTGGTGACCCTTGAGGCTGCAGAATGAGAAATAGATGCCGAAATGGAGCAAGCTGAAGCTACAGTAGATTAAAGTTATTTATATGTAGCAAGCGTGGTATGATATTCATAGGTCCTCAACAGATTTGTTGAAGTGTTTAACTTGATAGGGACAAGGGGGATGAGCACACAAACTTGCAAGAAGAGGGAGATATCTGTGTGGAGATAACCTTAGTTCCAGCTACTAGGGAGCCTGAGAAAGGATCACTTGAGCCCAAGAGTTCAAGGCCAGTGTTGGGCAACCTGGGGTGGGGTGGGGTGGAGAAGAGGAAGGCTGGGCAACCATCCTTGGCTGTCAAGTGTCCAGTCATTAAAATTCTTTTCTTGCCTTGTACTCATGAGGGCCTGAATTTTATCCCCAGAACCCACATAAAAATAGCCAGATGTGTACCCTCATAATTTCAGAGCTGGGGAGATGGAGACAGGCAGGTCTCTGGGCCTTACTGGCTAGCCAGTTTAATCTAATCTGCAAACATAAGGTCCTAGGGAGAGACCCTGTCTCAAAAAACACAGTGGTCAGCTCCCAGAACAATACTGGGGGTTGTTCTTGGGCCTACACATAGACAGGTAGACAGACAGACAGACAGACACACACACACACACACACACACACACACACACACACACACACACACACACAAATGAAGGATGAGCAGAAGCCTTTCAGCAGGCCTATGCATTTGTGTCTTGGCAGATGTCCACTCTTCCTCAGAGGGAAGCCACAGCACCTACTGCGTGTTCAGGCTCAACCTCTTCTCAGGACATGGAGAATGGCTATGGTGATGTTCTGCAAGGAGAATGCCTCAGAAAGCCAGACTGCAAGCAGTCCAAACTCTATGGAGTGGGTGACCCCATGGCCATGTTCTCCTCTGACAGCTCCTGCCTGTCCTCTAGAGGAAGAGTCATCAAATGGTTCTGGGACTCAGCTGAGGAGGGCTACAGAACCTACCACATGGATGAGTATGATGAGGACAAGAACCCCAATGTGAGTGAAGACCCCTCCCAACTGGGACCCAAAAGCAAACTAACTGCAGGGCAGCCAGCAGCCAGCTTGCTCTTGTCAGGTTGGAGTTATAATCCTCTGGCTCCAAGAGGGCTGGTAATGTCGGCTTCTGTAGATAGGTCATCTCTGAGATGGGCTAGTAATGTCTGCTCTGAAGAGTGTGAACATGAAATGAAACCAAGGGTGTGAAATTAACAGTGCTTATCATATTGATAAATACTTGATAAACTGATAAAAACTTGATAAATGCAGCTGCTATTATTATTATTATCATATGCCATGATTACCATAATCTATTATACATAATAATTTGGCAAAGAGCTGCACAATAACACTTATTAATAGTTTTGATCTGTTGAACATCCACCAGATATCAGCAACCGTTCTAGGTACTGGTGTCATAGCAGTGAGCAAAACTCAAATATTGCCCTATGTATTTATATTTTAGTTGAAACAGACAGATCAAAAATACATATAACATTTACTGATAGGTACTGCAGAGAAAACGAAGACAGGGTGAGGCGGACAGAGGAGTCGGCTGGGAAATATTGCTGTTTGACATAGGATGTCATAGAAGGCTACTTTAATCAGGTGACATTAGAACAGAGCCTTGAAAAAAAAGTGAGAGAGGTTGTATTGCTGCAAAAAATCACCCCAAATCTCAGCAGCTTACATAGCAAACATTTCCCGGTTGCTGCAGCTCGGGACTCCTGGTGGGCATCTTGGGATCGGGGTTTCTGTCACAGTACCCTGAAGTTGGTGCTGGGATCTCGTCTGAAAGCTTGACTGGGTGGTGGGACTTGGACAGGTGAGAGGCTCCAGCTCCAGACTCACTTCTGTGCCTCCTTGTGGGTACCTATTCCTTTCACATGGACTCCGCCCCAGGACTGCCTCAGATATGGCCGCTGGCTCCCTCCAGGGAAGATGACTCAGGACAGAGAGAGAGACTGTAAATACCCAAGATAGAAGCCACCCGCTTTTATGACCTAACCTTAGAAGTGACACCCCATCATCTTTGCATGTTCTTTTGATCAGGAACACTTGGCAGATTCAGTCTCTATGCAGGGGGCCGTGGTAGAGGCTACCCACCACCAGGAGAGAATAGCTAGTCCAAAGGCCCCAGGCCGGAACTACGCTGGATCAGACCAAGGGTCAGCAAGGGAACCAGTGGGTTATGGTAAAGCCAGACTGGTGGTGATGGGGTCAGAAAGGCCATGGATATTGTAGGGCCTCATGGGACATGGCGAACGTTCTTTCTGTATACAGAGTTGAGTAGGAAATGTTCAGGAGACAGTATGCATGGTGTTCTTTCAGTTATTAAAGACATCTGGGACTTCCATATGAAGACCCGATGACAGGTGAAGGGGTGGACAGGAGAGGAGGTGGGGAGCTCTGGCAGTGATCTGGACAGGAACCATGGTGACTTACACTAGGATCTCAGCAGCGGGGCATGGCAAGGCTGGCTGAATGTGCTGTAACTGGAGAGCTGTTGGGATTTGGAGATGGGTTGGCTGTGTCTGGGGGAAACAGTTTCCTCCCCAGGGGTGGTGAGCATTGCCTTTTATGTGTCTAACTCTCAGCTCATTCAAGTTGAATTGTTTTTTCTCTCCTGCCTCCTTCACTCCTGACATAAGGCAGGGGCAGGGGTTGGTGCCTCCTATTAGGATTAACACCTCATGGGGTGGCAACCAGACAGTGTGTCCTGTTAGCTGAGTCTCCTAGGGAATAATTTATACTGACCTAGGGGGTCCACTGAACACCCCACCTTTGTTTCTGGTCCTAGCAGAGCGTAATTTATGGTCTGATTTATAGAATGATTCTATAAATGTTTCTGGAGAGACATAGTGGTGTCTTGGGCACGAGTTTGCCTTCAGGGAGCTAGCTATCAGCAGAGAGCTATGCCCCGATCTCTGTGGTGTGGGACAGAAACCGAGTGATTTTCTCAGGGCAGGGGAGAGGTGGAAAGAGATGTGGGACTCCAAGAAGCAAAGAGGGCTTACAGATGGGGCTTGTGGGAAGACTTCTTGCCAGAGGTGGTGTTTAGACCGTGTTGGAAATGGGGCGTGGGATTTTGGAGCCCTGTGAGGGCCCAGTGTGAGCAAAGACAAGGAGGGTGGAGGAAGGGTGGGAGGTGCCCACTTTGCTGTCCGTGGGTTCTCCAGGCTCTTTGCGGGCACTTCTTTCTCGTGCTCACCCTGCCTCTACACTGTGTCTGCAGGGCATCGTTAACCTGGGCACCAGTGAGAACAAGCTCTGCTTCGACCTTCTGTCCAGGCGGGTGAGTGCTGGGGCTGCCGTGCCAGGGCTTCTGGAGTCCTTTGCCACAGCAGCTTGCTGCATGCCTCGGTGGCCCTGACGTAAGAGTGGGGAGACATGGATTCCAGGTCTGCCTCTCCTCTCCCCTCCTCCCCTCCCCTTCCCTTCCCTCCCCTCCCCTCCCTTCCCCTTCCCTCCCCTGTCTGCCAACAGAACTATACCCATCTCTCATCTTTTGCTCTTCACTGGAGATTGAACCTAGCACTTACACAGTCCAGGCAAGCTAAACCACACCCTCTACCTTCTTAACTTTTTATTTTAAGTCAAGGTCTAAGTTTCTGAAGCTGATCTTGAACTTAAATCTGCCAGGCAGGCCTTGGATTTGCAGTTTTCCCTCCTTAACCTCCAGTGTAGCTGGGGTTACAGGCCTGCACCAACAGGTCTGGCTTCTATGGCTGTTTCTAATCCAGTTGGTAAAATTCCTTCAGATTTCATCAGATTTCTGTTTAAAATATATTTTATGTGTATGGGTGTTTTGCTTTCATATATGTCTGTGCCCCAGGTACATGCCTGGTGCCTGTTGAGGCCAGAAGAGGGAGTCTGGTAACCTGGAACTGTAGTTACAGATGGTTGTGAGCCGTCATGTAGGTGCTGGGAATTGAACCCAGTACCCAAGAAACTGAGGCAGGAGGAGTGCTGTGAGTCTGAGTCCATCTTGGGCTTTATAGTAAGCATCAGGAGAGCCAAGGCTACATAGCAAGAGCATGTCTCAAGTCTCCAAAAGTAAAAATAACTAAAACTGGTTTCAGTAATATTTCATTTACCTACTATATCTAAAATATGACCATTTCAGCTGGTAATAAATGTACAATTATTGATATTTATTAATACTTGTTCTTACAAAGTCGTTACAGTTCAGACTAGCAACCTAGTAAGTGCTGAGTAGCCACAGATACCCATGGCTTCCATGTTGAACCTGCTCTAAGGGGCGACAGGAGTGGGGGGAAATGACTGGGCCCCAGCATAGAGAAGTAGATGATTCCAATTGTTCTGGTCCCCCTGCCCGAGGACACTTTGTTATTGGCTCTCTTTGACCTTACAGCCATGATACTCTAGTTTCACTAATCCAGTACCTGCTGAGACAAGGGATGGTCTAAAATTTGCCACCATACACAAAGGGTGAGGTTGAGTGGAACCTGCAGGAGACAGTGTGCTGAGTCCCCTCTCTAAAGTTGGAGCCAAGGCCAAGCTGTCATCACCAGCTCTGGAGCCTCCTCTGACGTCTGGGGAAGCTGAGTAGTGTGCCTTCCCAGCACTGCTCTGCACCCACCCCCCTGATTCTGTTGTATAGAGAGCTAGAGTCAGGAGTTCTGGGTATGGCTTTAGCTCTGCCATTTGCTAGCCTTGCCTTCACTTTGTGAGCCTTGGTTTGCTGATCTGTGAAATGGGCTGTCCTGCACTCCTGCCACATTCCCTGAGAAGGAGAAGAAACTGTAGGTGCTGAAGGCCCTGGTGCCGTGTGGACGCAGGTGACAGTGCTGGCCCTTAGCCTTGCTCTGTTCCCTTTGTGCCCCCAGCTGACACAGAGTGACATGCTTCATGTGGAGCCGTCTCTGCTGCAGTACCCTGACTGGAGGGGACATCTGTTGTAAGTAGTTGCCACAGGCTGGTGGGTCTCAACACGTTGACCCCAGGGAGGTCTGGTAGTGGCTGGGCACATTTCTGGTTGGTGTAACTGGGAGAAGGGTCTACAGTCCAGGGATGTGCTGTTAAACCTACAAAGCACAGGGAGGCCTCGCAACAAAGAATTCTTCCGTCCACGAGATCAGTAGAGGCAGTGTGAGGGAGCTGGTTGTAAGCTGAGAACATAGTTGTGGAGACCTGGTGACCAGGGGCTGTCCGGCCAGCCCCAAATCCATCACCGGAGTTCCCGGCTTGGTTCCCATGACCCTAAGTCTGAGGTGAGGGAGGAGACTGTCCTTGCTTTTTCAGCAGCTTTAGAGATGACCGGTGAGTGTCTGGGGAGCTGGCTGGGACTCACTCCCAATGGTAAGATGGGTCAGGGAATGAAAGACTGCCATATACTGATTATTTGCAGGTCAGACATTGTTCTTAGGGATTAGTGGCCCAGCAGGACCTGACCCAAGATGTATTCCAAAGCTCATATTCTTAGAAAATGGTCACTAGGATGGTGAGCCTTGGGGCAGGCCACTGGGCTTGTGCATAGTCTCTGCCACCTACCAGCAAGTGTTTTAATTCCCTTAAACCTCAGCTTCTTTGTAAAATGGAAATGATAGTAAGAGTAGTCACCATGGAACATTCTCCAAATACCATCTGAAGTTCAGTAAGAACTGCGGTAACAGTTCCTATTATGATAATGTTTATTATTATCGTTTCACCAGCTAGATCTATATAGCGTCAGTTTTCATCTGTTTCCTGACTTGGGGGCGTGTGTGGCTGCGCTGGGTTTCCTAGAACCACACAGAGTGAATGCTTTGTGGTCAGATGGGGGAGGGAGTGCCAGAGTGGAGACAAATGCCTACCGATTCACCTCCTGGGAAGGGAGGATGGAGCAGTGGCAGCTAGCCACCTGTGGGTTCCCAGAGGGGCTCTAGAGTGGCCTGGGCTGAGAACCCTCCGACAAGTGTCGCACATCGTTGGTCTGTTCTTCTAGCCTCCGGGAAGAAGTGGCAAGGTTCTTGTCTTTCTACTGTAAGAGCCCGGCACCCCTCAAACCAGAGAACGTGAGTCACCCCTTCCTTAGGGGTGAGGGTTGGGAGGATGCTTGGGGTCTGCCTTTCACTTAGTTTTGCCTCCCAACCCCACTGTGCTGTGTCCCTCTTGACCTCCTCACCTTTGAGAGAGGCCCTCAGAGTGACCAGTTCTGTCTCTTGTTCACTTGGTCAAGAGCAGGGTCCCCAGAAATAAGTTTGGCTGGAAGCCAAGGGAGACCTTCATCAGGATGGATCCCCAGGGCACTGGGGAGAGGCGTGGCCCTTCCCCTGGTCCTTGCTCTTCTCTGTCCCCTGACAGAGTCACCCTTGTCACCCCCAGGTGGTAGTTCTGAATGGCTGTGCCTCTCTCTTTTCTGCTCTGGCCACAGTGCTGTGTGAGGCAGGAGGTAAGTGAACCCGGTGGCCACTCCCTCAGCTTTGAACCAAGGCTATGCTTGGCTGTGACCTCAGTTGCCTGGCAGCAGAGCTGCATCAGGATGCCTTCAGCTATAGTAGAGCATAGGAGATTATAGGAGCCTTCAGTGAGTGACTTGACCAGACATCCGGGACAGCAGTTCTCAGGGGGGTTCCTATGGGATCAGGGTCCTGCTCTCTCTGACGTCCTCAGCTTTTTCTTCTTGTTCACCAGGTCATTGTCACATTCTTCTCTGACACTGTGTCTTATAGCAAGAAGACCGAGACAGTTAGAACAAGCTGGCCTCTCCTGTCAGGCAGGTGCCCTTTCCCAGAAGGATCCCAGTGAGACCCTTTTTACTGGATAGAAATTACTTGTAAACCTAAAGGAGTCCCTGACAAAGGTGCTTAAGGGATCCAGTGTTGACTTAAACCAGACTGGTTCATGCCACGGCCGGGGAAGGCCTGACTTGGACATATTGCCGGTCCTCTTTCAAACACACACACACACACACACACACACACACACACACACACACACACACACAACAAACTAAATAAACAAAAAAGTCTCTCTTAGCAAGGAAGGAGATTGAACGACTATTGAGGAGACAGCCTGCTGTAAGAGGCAGTGTGTCAAGAACTGGTTGTGGCCGGGGGTCAGTTGTTGTAAGGAACATGAGAGCTCAGTTGAGCCTAACAGGTTAACGCTGGTCACATGCAGTCACCGCATACAGCTGTCCAGGCTAGGTCGTGTGGCTTTACACAACACCTCTATGGAGTGGATTCTTTGACTAGACCCTTTCACAGGTGAGAAGACTGAGGCCTAGAGGTTAAGTAACTTTTCAAAGTCACAGGAACAGAAGCAGTCACCAGGACTTAAGCCCTAAAGGAAGATTTGCTGTGAGAATATGATAGACAATTTCTTATCCATTCTGGAGCAGTCAAATACAGGGACCCTATAAGCTCCAATATCCTGGTCTATAAAGTATGGCTGACGATAGTGCTTACTTCAGGGCATGGTGGTGAACCTGTTTAGCACAGGCTAAGGGGTCAGTAAGTATTAGCAGAGGCCCCAGCTCACAGTGGATGGACAGGGACTTTCAGCTTACAATGGTGTGAAAACTATGCAAACTCAGTAGAAACTCTATTTTGGTTTCTCTCTCTTTATTTTCAAATAAATCTTTATATTAGTTTTTATTTTATTATTTTATGTATATGAGTGCTTTTGCCTGGATGTATCTTTGTGTGTGCCTGGTGCCTGTGGAGGTTAGATCCCCTGGAAATGGAGTTGCAGCCATTTGTGAGCCATCCTGTGGGTGCTGGGAATCGAACCCAGGTTCTCTGGAGTTTGAATTGTGACAGGTTCTCTAGCTAGTGCTGTGTGATGTGCTGTTTTCTTGCAATACTGGGCAGTGGCAGTGAGCTCCCCCACTCCACCTGCAGGCGACCATGAGATCTTGAGTCAATGCCAGTACTCTGCCCTGTTCCAGATTCCTAAGATAGAATGTTTAGGAGGTTAGTGGATCAAATGCATTTTTTATAGTTTTAACTTATAGTGGATTTATCTGTATGTGACCCCATTTTAAGTGAGCATCTATATTAGAAAGTCTGACCTTAGGGGGTTCAAGCTTTAAGGTTTTGGGAGTTGAGAGGAGCAAGAATATGCTCCAGATATTTCCTAGAGATGATAGAAGCTTGGAAGGGCAGTGGGGCTCATATTGGGTGTCTGGGGTGTCCAAGCCAGAGGCCAATGGGTTGCCTACTCCTTCCCCTAGAGGCTCTCTTGATCCCCACCCCTTACTATGGAGCCATTACCCAGCACGTCTATCTCTATGGCAATGTCCGACTGGCCTATGTCTACCTGGACAGCAAGGTAAGAGTGCCTGCATTCCAGTTCTTGCATTGGGTATCCCTGTAGGCAAGGGTTTACTGGGTCTGAGTTTGTGGGTGGACCTGAAGGAAGCCTATGCTAGGGGCTTTGGGGCTGCTGTGAAATGGAAGTGGAGCCTTCTGTTGTCACATGGATACCTCTGCCTGGGTTCCCTGGAAGCTCCAAGCTCCAGGCTCTAAGATTCCTGGGTCCATAGAGAAGCCAAGAACTAGCCCAGAAATGAGAGGGTGGCAAGGGGGAAGCTTAGGCCTTGGAAGTCATGAGAGCCAATCAGAGAAGCCTTGCTGCCTCTGCCAGAAATCTGAGTGATGAGGGATGTCCCTGAGGTAAAGGGTGGGGCAGAAGGCAGGAAGGGGGAGTGGCCCCTCTCATTTTCCAAAGGCTGTACCCAGGAGACTGGAGATGATAGATGAGGCAAGACCCAAGAGTTCAAGTTTGGGGTGGGGATGGGGCACTGAATTTGGCTCCTGCCTTTGATGGGTCTCTTCCCAGGTAACTGGACTGAACACACGTCCCTTCCAGCTCACAGTGGAGAAGCTGGAGATGGCCTTGCAAGGAGTTAATTCTGAGGTCTGGGGATTCAGTTAAATCCAGGGCTGGGAGTGGGTGGGTCTCAGCAGGGGCTGGACCCTTCATCTCTTGGGAGTTGGGCTCATAGCTTTGGTAGGGATATATGTGGAGGGGTTATAGAACCACCCTTGCAGGGGCAGTCAGGCAAAATCCAGTGTCTATGGAGGGTCTTCCCATTAGAAAATAACCCTGAAACCACAGTGTACAGGGAACCAGGGAGTTTCATTAACAACTTTCCCCTCACAAGAAAGGGTAATAGGTGGCGGGATATATGAAAATGTCAAGAATGAAGCCCATTATTGTTTTCAATGAATGTAGTTACTGTTTTATTGCTGTGAAAAGACACCATGACCAAGGTAAAAGAAAGCATTTAATTGGGGGTTTGCTTGCAATTTTAGAGAGTTAGTCCATTATCATCATGGCAGCAAGCAGACCGGCAGGGCACTATGGCAGTAGCTGAAGCTTTACATCCTGATCTGTAGGCAGCAGGCAGAGAGACACTGGGTATTCGAAGCCTCAAAGCCTGCCCCAAGTGATATACCTCTTCCAACAAGGCCACACCTCTCTCATCCTTCCCAAACAGTTCCACTAAAGACCAAGCATTCAAACATATGAGCCTATGGGGGCTGTTCTAATTCAAACCACCACATGGTGCTAATTAAAAAGAACACTCCCCCATTCCAGTCCCTTTGTTTCTTCTTCAGGGTCAAATGTGGATCATGGGAGTCTATAGTACAGTGAGGGGTGGTGATCCTGTTCTTTTTGAGGGGCTCCCTAATAAAGGCAGAGACCCAAGTTCCTGTGCCCGCTTTCCACCCATTTTCAGCATCTGTGCACTTCACACAGGTGTTTACCTTTGTCATTCAAGCTGTCAAGTGCTCACTGCAGGAACTGTGAAAGTTCTGGACTTTCCCACCTAGAGCTCTTTTGACACAAGCAGCCTCTCTGCCAGCAGCTGGGCACATCCCCTCCCCCACCCGCTTCCTGCCTGCTTTCTTTCCATGGTTGGCACAATACAGCAGATGTAACTCTAGTCCCAGTCATTTGCTTCTTGTTGGGGCATGAGCGTGCCCCTGCCATGCTTCCCTGGGAGCCAGCCAGCTTTCAGCCTCATCCAGTGGGACTGTGAGGCTCTGGGGTCAGGAGGACACTGTAACACCCCCATGGATGGTTTCAGGGTGTCAAGGTCAAAGGCCTCATCCTCATCAACCCCCAGAACCCTCTGGGTGACATCTACTCCCCTGAAGAGCTACAGGAGTTCCTGGGATTCGCCATGAGGTGAGCTATGCCTACCCCACAAAATGGGCAGACGGGGCTCTGCTGTGAGCCTTGGGGCACATCAGACTTCTTAGCCCACTGTGGGCTACTACCTGCTTTGGTGTCTCTGTCTTCTTAAAACACCAGCTATAACACTCTTTGGGCTGCCCACCATGCTGAACCCTTTATTATTTATTTATTTATATGTTTACCTGTGTTCATGTGCGTGTGTGACTGTGGAGGACAGAGGTCATTCCTTAGATGCCTTCAAGTTGTTTCTGAGAAAGGGTTTCACTGGTCAAGTATGCTAGGCTGTCTGGCCAGTGAACCCCCCGGGATCCCCTTCTCTTCACTCCCCCAGCACTGGGATTGCAAGTACCTGTCACCGGGCCTGCCTTTTTAGCGGGTTCTGGGTGTCAGACTTGGGTCTTGTTTGCAAGGCAGCACTTTACCAACTGGGCCATCTTCCCAGGAGAGCACTTCCTGTGCTGCATCTATGGTCCTCATCACAACATCCCCATGAAAATCAACACTGTCATCATCCCTGCTTAACAGAGCCTCAGAGTGGTCCAATCAGGAGTGGGAACAGACATGAATCTGGGTCCATTTGTCTCCAGCCCACCATGGAGGACCCCAAAGAGTCCTCTGCTTTATGGGTGCAGCTTCCTGTTTGTAAAAATGTAGACCAAAGCGGGGTGTTCCTGGGACAAGCTGGTTTCGTAGTGCCCAAGGGCTAGTCTATGGTCCTCTGGGTTTCTGACATACTGATACTCAACACTGGGTAACATATTTTGGCTCCCTCTTTCCTACCACCTACCCACTGCAGGCACCAACTGCATGTGATCATGGATGAAGTTTACATGCTGTCCGTGTTTGAAGAGTCTCTTGGGTACCGCAGTGTCCTGAGCTTGGAAAGGTGAGGCTCCCAGTGTACCAGATTCTACCAGCCCTCTGGACTGTCTCACATTTTCCCAGCCTCTTTCTGGGTCAGCTGACAGGGCATGGCCTGCCCCAGGGCAGTTCCATTGATATTTATTTGATCTCACTGGTCCTCCGGCCAGGAAGGACTAGGTAGATCAGGGGTCTTCAAATTATTCTATGGCATTCCCAAGAGCTCCAAGGAGGGCCTTGACATTATTTGAAGAAGCATTGGGTCTATGGGAAATTAGACTCTTGCTATTTCCTTCATCCTCAGAGTGGCTCCAGTTTCAACCATCCATCAGTCCTTCTGTCTGTGCATCCATCTATCCATCCATCCATCTACCCATCCATTCATCTATCCCCTGACCCACTCATCCCTCCATCCACCCATTCATCTGTTTATCTATCCACCCACCTATCCATCCATGTATCTATATTTCTACCTAGGAAAAGGTCTCAGCAGCTAAAGACACAGCCAGCAATTTCCATAATAGTGGTAAGAAGCACTAAAATGGATGTGGCCAAGGAGCTATGAGGGGGTCTGTTTTGGCCTGATTTCCTGGCTGATCAGAAAAGCCTTTTGAGGAAGTGGTGCCAGAGCTATTTTCTAGCTCAATTAGACAGCAGGCTGTTTGCTGACCCCCCATACTAAGGGAAGCGGGGGAATTGGTGGTTCAAAGACAGGAGACCCAGTGTCATCGATCCATTTACTTATCCATTCCCAAGTCTGTGATCCCCTGGCTCTGGGTTGCTTATGTTTCCATATTCTCCTCTCTGTAGGCTGCCTGACCCCCAGAGGACACATGTGATGTGGGCCACCAGCAAAGTGAGTTCCTGGCTAGCCTGGGTGGGAGGGAGTGGAATCAGTTTCTTCTGTGTGGGCTGGCTATGGCCTATCATGTGACTTCTTGTAGGACTTTGGGATGTCTGGACTCCGCTTTGGCATACTGTACACAGAAAACCAGCATGTGTCTACTGCCGTGGCCTCCCTCTGTCGCTACCATGGCCTCAGTGGCCTGGTCCAACACCAGATGGCACAGCTGCTCCGGGACCATGGTGACTGTCTGGGGCTAGGGACTTGAAAGAGGAGTGGGGTTGTAATGTGCGTGGGACGTCTTGGGGCTCATGGGTGCCTCTCCTTTGGAGGAACTTAGGTGACACCTGACAGTGTCATCTCTGGGTTCAGACTGTAATCAATCACTTGTGTGCTCCATATGTAGCACATTACTTCACCTCCTCATCTGTAGAATGGGGTAATCATGGTGCTAGCCTTGCAGGCTGAGTATGACCTATAATTTGGTTAGAACAATACATGTCATAAAGTAGGCTCTTGGCTAATGTGAGCTCACCGGCCAGGTGCAGTGTTATGCATCTGTCCTTCTAGCTACTCGGGAGGCTGAAGCAGGAGGATCCTTCCAGGTCAGGAGTTCCAGGCTGGCCTGGACAACATAACAAGATTCCACCTTCAAAAATGAACTTTTATTAGCTTTGAGCACAAAGACCAGAAGTTACTGAGGAAATGTCGATATCATGGAGAGCTCTCTGCCTCCGGGAATCGGATCTGTTCCTGCCTCAGATAGCAGAAGTTCAGAGAGCAAAGCTGTTTTGTATTTGTTGCTGTTCACTGAGCCTTTCAAATGCTCTTTTGGTCCATCTCATTTCCCTCCCTAGGGTCCTAGGAAGAATTCCTATGCAGTTCCCCTTTGTTTTGCAGGTGAGGAAAAGGAGGACCAGATACTAAACACCCAATCTGCTAGCCTAAAAAATTTTAGAAACAGTAGCAATGTCAAATGTTGCTAAGGGAGGTGGGACAGCGGGACACTTATTCTAACATCACTGGTGGGGACAGAAGATGGCTCAGCCACAGTGAAAAACGATTCTGCTGTTTCCTCTAAACACACCTATCAAATGACACAGCGACTACAGGCCCCAGTGTGGAACCTGGTCACACAAAAACCTCTGTGTGAATGCTGATAGCTGAGGGTTTTGTTTTGTTTTGTTTTTTTTTTTTTTTTTTATAATCACCCACATCTGCAAACAGTACACCTCCACAGATGAGTTGACACAAATATATCCCATCCACACCATGGAATACTGATATAATAAAAATCCATGGCAATGTGGATTTCTCCCAAAGACACTGCTATTAAGAGAAGCTAGGGTCAAGAGATTTCATGCCCTATGAGGCTGGTTTTGGTGACATTTGGGAATGAACAAAACCGTCATGACGTATAACATATCAGTCATGAGGAAGAGGGCGGTATAAATCTAAATAGCATGAGGACAGTCTTTGGGGTCACTCAGAATCCTGATTTTGGTGGTGCTTTCATAAGTGTATGAACGTGTGATAATCCAGAGAGCTGTGCACCCCTCAAAAGAGGTCAGTGAATCTGTGAGGACCAGAGAGGTGAAGTTGCTGAGATCCGCCTGTTCCTGTCTGGCCAGATGCCCTACTGGGATCAGGACCTTGGTCTGTGTGGTTCTAAGTATCACTTTATAACTGCAGACACCTTTGGCTTGGCTCACATCCTGAGGGACTTTGTACTCCGGGCTCCTGAATGTGGTCCAGGACCTGACATGTTCAGGGCTGTGTACCTGGATCAAGGGCGCTTTGTGCTGAGCACTGAACTCCCAGCCCCGCTGAACCTATGATCAGTAAGCCAGTTAGAGGAAGGGCTCCCAAGATGTTGACTGCCATGCCCTTTTGTCTTCTAGCATTTAGATTAGTGCCATGGTCCATGGGAGTTTTATGTTCCTGCTTCCCTTCCATTTAGACTGGATCAGCCAGGTGTACCTGCCAGAAAACCACGCCCGACTCAAGGCTGCCCATACCTATGTCTCAGAGGAGCTCAGAACCCTGGGGATCCCCTTCGTGAGTCGTGGGGCAGGCTTCTTCATCTGGGTTGACTTGAGAAAGGTAAATAGGGTGGAAGTATGGGAACAGGGCAATGTCAAGCCCCTACCTGGCAGGTGAAGGCACTGGAGGGTCTCCTGCATTCTGAGCTACTTCTACCCCCTCCCCCAGTACCTTCGCAAAGGCACATTTGAGGAGGAGGTGTTGCTCTGGCGCCAATTTTTGGATAACAAGGTGCTGCTGTCCTCTGGGAAGGCCTTTGAGTGCAAAGAACCCGGCTGGTTCCGGGTGGTCTTCTCAGACAAGGAGAACCGGCTCTGCCTGGGTAAGCAGTCTCCTGCCCTACCCTCCCAACAACATCCTTTAGGGGACCCCTGCTTCTGACCTTAACAGCCCCGGTGCTGACCACTCCTCACTTCTTCTCAGGGATGCAAAGGATGCGGCAGGTGCTTGAAAGGCAATCTCAAGTGGTAGAAGATACCTCTCCCTGTCACACTCAGGAGCCAAGTACCCAGCCCATATGAGCAGGCCATTGCCTCACAAGCAGCCACTGTCCTCATGACCTGGACATGTAGAGTCACGGAGCATTGAGTGTGGATGTGCCATTTGTCTGTAGGATTTTGTCACTTGGCTTTGGCCTTGAAGAACTGTTTCTGGCCCTCCCTGCTGGCAGTTTAAACTGGTGCTTATTCTGGGCTGTTGCTGTCCTCTATTCAGTGGGATTGGGACCAGCCAGGTATCTGTGCTGTGAATAGTGTACAGAATGGGAAGTCGTGACTGCTCCTCACCACAGCTCCTCCCTAGGACACAAGAGTAAATAAGTAACTGTTCATTCTTTGTGATGGTGCCTTCCTGCCTTTCTTGTTGCCAGGGAAACAAGCCAGAGGAAAAGCACACACATACACAGCAAACACACACACACACACACACACACACACACACACACACACAGTGATAACATTCCAAGGTGCATGGAATGAATTCTGTTTGTTCAGGTCTTAGGAGCCCAGGACAGGCCTCAGCTTGGCCTGTGAGCAGAACTCCATGGTGGGAGTTAGGAGGGTCTCCTCAATGGAGCTGAAATGCCCTCTCAAGTTCTGGGACCCACCTCCTCTTGCCTAGGAAGGAGGTGCCTTGGGTGTTGTTCCCAAAGCTGTGGCCTAGCAATGGCTGGGGAGCGGGGAAGGATTAGAGGCTGGATTTCAGAACCACGGCTGTCTGTGGACCAGGCAGAAGTTGGTCTTTCTGTGCTAAGAAAGGCTACGAAGGGGCCTGGCTGCTCCAGCTTGAGGGGTGCTTTGGTAAAGATCCCAAATGAATATTTGATTCCTGTGCTGACCTGTGCATACAGTGCCTATAGTCACAGCTGTGAGAGCAACTGAGGCAGGAGGATTACTTGTACCTATGAGTCTGAGATCAGCCTGGGCAGTACAGTATGAGTATGTCAATGAACTCAGATTAGCCTAGGCTATCCTCAGACCCACCATTCTGCTTGCAGGCAGCCATCATTGTGCCCAGCATATCCTGTCACAGATGAGGGAACCCAATCTTAGGGAGATGGAATGATATTCTGAACTTTATGTAGATCAGGACCCAAGGGTGGTTTGTTTGGTTCAGAATCTGCATGTGGGGGTTCGGAGAGATGGCTCAGTGGGTAAGAGCACTTGCTGTTCTTCAGAGGACCTGGGTTGAGTTCCCAGCGTTCACAGTGGGCAGCTTATAACTGTCTGTAACTCCAGTTCCAGGGATCTGATTCCCGCTTCTGGCCTTGTGGGCACCACACACACACACACACACACACACACACACACACACACACACACAATAAAATCATAAAAAGGAATCTCATGTGTACTGTTCATTTGTGCATTGCCTTCTGCTACTGTCTTGATTGGTCTGTAAATTGCCCATTTTGTGGTTTTTCCCGTCACTGGTTTATTGTTCTCTCTTTTCTTATAGATTTTTCTGGATTTCTTCCTGTCTTAGTTAGGATATTTATTGCTGTGAAGAGACCATAACCACAGCAACTCTTATAAAGGAAAACATTTAATTGGGGTGGCTCACTTACAGTTTCAGAGGGTCAGTCCATTATCATCATGATGGGGAGCATGGCGGCATGCAGGCAGATGTGGTGCTGGAGCTGAGAGTGCTACATCTTGCAGGCAACAGGAAGTTGACTGACTGTCACACTGAGTGAAGCTTGAGAAAAAGACCTCAAAACCTGCCTCCACAGTGACACACTTCCTCCAAGAAGGCCACAACTTCTAATAGTACCACTCCCTTTGGGGGCCATTTTCTTTCAAACCATCACACCCTCCTTCATCTTTTACTCATTTGTAATTTATATGCTCTATTTGCCTTCTGGCTGTTATCCTAGACATTATAACACCTACAAACAACTTGTGAATAGAAACTTGTGCCTTGACTTTCCCGCTAGCCCTAGGAGAGCCCTTGAAGACCTCTTCTCCCTGGTGATCCCTGACTATTTGTGTGGTCTGTTTTCATTCCTGCCTTTCACTTTTGACCCTGCACAGTCTTGTTTTTACACAGGTGATGTTTGCTTCAGTTGACCACATACTCAAACCTGTGCATCTGGGGTCACGTGTCTGAGGCTCCTATCTGGAGTCACGTGTCTGAGGCTTCCACCTGGAGTCACATGTCTGAGGCTTCCATCTGGAGTCATGTGTCTTCTGTCTGGAGTACAGCTCCTGGGGGTGGGGTGGGAGGAGTCTGCTAGTGACAAACTTTCAATCTTTGCTTCTCTGAGGATGTTTATTTTGCTCCCTTTTAGAAATATAACTCTACTGGTTATAGAATTCTGGGGTCAGTAGTTAACTTCTGATTTTTGTTGTTCCTGTGGCTCCTGTAGTCAGAAGGTTTCTCTGGTCTCACCTGGCCCCGTGGTCCTACAGCCATTTATAAAATAATCATTTAGAGACTTATATTAATTATAATTGCTAGGTCATTAGCTCAGGCTTATTACTGACTAGTTCTTATATTTAAATTAACCCATAATTTTTATCTATGTTAAGCCATATGGCTTGGTACCTTTTCTCAGTTCTGCCTTGTCATCTTGCTTCCTCTGTGTCTGGCTGGTGACTCTGCCCTTCCTCTTTCCAGCATTTTCCTAGTCTGCTTGTCCCGCCTATATTTCCTGCCTGGCTATTGACCAGTCAGCATTTTATTAAGCCAATATACTATCCCATAGCAGGCTCCTTCCAAGATGACCTGTCACCCTACCCCAGTTTTTCCATGCCTTTAAAAGACATTCTTTTTTATTATTATTTTCTTTTTATTGATTAATTTTGTTACTTGACAATTTCTTGTTTTTTGTTTTTAAGAGTTGGAATTCTAACCCAGGTCTGTTTTTGTAAATGTTCTTTTTATTTATTCTTTGTGTTTTTCACATCATGCATCTTTATCCCATTCATTTTGCCATTCCTTTGTATCTGCCCTCTGCCCTTGCAACCTCCCCCCACAAATAAAATAAAACAAAATTTAAGAGAAAAAAAAAGAAAAAAAAATCAATCTCATCATGGAAGCTGTAGTGTGACACAGTGAATCACACAATATACCCTTTTATCCATATATCTTTACTTGCAGGTGTTCATTGCAACGTCATTGGTGTGGTTTGAGGCACTTGGTTTCTGCTACACTATTGATGCTGGGCCCTCACTGGGGCTCCTCTCGGATATTCTATTGTTGCCCTGTGTTGTAGAGATCCTGCAGCTTTGGGTCTGCAGGACTAGCCCCTTCAGATCATAGATGCTCCAGCAGATCATAGATGGGGTGGGTATTGGGGTGGGCCAACTCATAATCCTGCTTCTGGGCCTGGGTAGTTGCAGGGTTGGTCAGCCCACCAGCTCTCCCTTGTCCTCACCACCACAGTGAACCCTCCAGCACTGTCCTGGCTAGTTCAAACCCTTGCAGTAATGAGCAAGGGGTAGGGCCAGTTCTCCTGCTTTTATGCCCTCAGGGTCAGATCTCTCACACCTACACCATCAGGGCTAGCTCTACTGTATTGCCCAGACAAGGTACAGGGACCCACTCTCCTGAGTGCTGCAGCTGATAAGGGGCAGGGACAGTTCTCCCACCCTTATGACCTCAAGGCCAGCTCTCCCACCTGCCCACAGGTGGTGAGGGGCAAGGGGGAAATCATCTTTCCCTCACCCACACCACCATATAGCAGATGAGGGGTGGGGCCAGATCTCCCACGCTTACATTCTCAGGGCCATTTTAAAAGACAATCCTTATCATTTATGACATATAATGTCATTGTGTATCAAGATAATGATTTATCTTATTATCTCATTTTATATACACCGTGATCTTGCATCTGTGGCTTCCTTCATCAGTTCTTGAAAGTTCTCAGCCTTTATTATCAAATATTGCCTTTTCCCCATTCTCCCTCTGTGGTAGTTTGAATGTAATTGACCTCCATAAGCTCATAGAGAGCGTCATTATTAGGAGGTGTGGTTTTGTTGTAGTAGGTATGGCCTTGCTGGAGGAAGTGTGTCACTGTGGGGGCAGGCTTTGATGTTTCCTATGCTCAGGATAGCCCCAGTGTCTCAGTCCACTTCTTGTTGCCTGCCTATCAAGATGTAGCCAGCACCATGTCTGCCTGCATGCTGCCATGCTCTGCACCAGCTGATAATCCATAATAATGGATTAAACTTCTGAAACTGTAAGCCAACACCTCAATTAAATGTTTTCCTTCATAAGAGTTGCTGTGGTCCATTAATAGTGGGAGACTTCAACACCCCACTCTCACCACTGGACAGATCTGCCAAATTGAAACTTATTAGAGAAATAAGGGGCTTAACTGATGTTATGACTCAAATGGACTTAATCGATATCTACAGAACATTCCACCCTAACAAAAAAGAATATACCTTCTTCTCAGCACCCCATGGAACCTTCTATAAAATCGACCACATACTCAGTCACAAAGCAAATCTCAACAGATTAAAAAAAAAAATAGAATAACCTCCTGTATTCTATCAGATCACCATAGTTTAAAGTTAGATTTCAACAACAACAAAAATTACAGAAAGCCTAAAATCTCATAGAAACTGAATAATGCTCAACTGAATCAATCACCAGTGGGTCAAGGAAGTAATAAAGAAAGAAATTAAAGACTTCCTAGAGATCAATGAAAATGGATGTACTACATACCCAAACTTATGGGACACCATGAAAGCAGTGCTAAGAGGAAAATTCATAGCACTAAATGCCCACATAAAGAAGTTGGAGAAATCTCACACTAGTGACTTAACAGCACACCTGAAAGCTCTAGAACGAGAAGAAGCAAAGTCACCCAGGAGGAATAGATGCCAGGAAATAATCAAATTGAGAGCTGAAATCAATAAAATAGAAACAAAGAGAACAATACAAAGAATCAATGAAACAGAGTTGGTTCTTTGAGAAAATCAACAAGATAGACAAGCCCTTATCCAGACTGAAAAGGCAGAGAGAGAGCATCCAAATTAACAAAATCAGAAATGAAAAGGGGGACACAACAGACAATGAGGAAATCCAGAGAATCGTCAGGTCATACTTCAAAACCTCTACTCCACAAAATTGAAAATCTAAAAGAAATGGACAATTTTCTAGATAGGTACCACAAACCTAAGTTAAATCAAGACCAGATAAACAATTTAAATAGACCAATAACCCCTAAGAAAATAGAATCAGTCATTAAAAGTCTCCCAACCAAAAAAAACCCAGGACCAGATGGTTTCAGCGCAGAATTCTAAGATCTTCAAAGAAGAGTTAATACTAATACTCTTTAAATTGTTCCACACAATAGAAACAGAAGGAACATTACCAAAC